TAAAACACTGATTTGAGGAATGGTTGGCTGTCCCTTCATTCGGTTGGCCCCGTGTGCAGTCCTGAGAGTCCCGACTCCCAACCATTGCAGCAAAATGGGCGGGCTCTGTACCTGTAACCGTTGGGTCGCAGCCGCGGGTGGGTGTGGTTAGCAGGCGCTTTCAGGAAGGAGGGGGATATTTGATTCTGTGTCATGTGACCTTGGATGGTCAGGACTGTATGCTACACTGGTGAACCTTGCTAGGTTAGGTGCTCTATGGCGTCTACTGAAGATTAGCGGTTAGGTGTTTTGCGCCCAGTATATGGGAACCCCGTCAATGAGGGCCGGGATTTCCCCATCACTTCAAAAAGTTTTTTAAATAGTCAGCAATGGTCATGGAAAATATGAGTTTTTTTAGTACCTTCACGTTGGTGGACCAGATATGGTTGGAGGAGATGATGAGACATATTTCATTCTCAGTCCCAGAGACTCTCTGGGATTACCGAGAGAATCTCGGGTAGAATCTCGGTCATACTGCTCTTCAGATGTGCGGTTACCCCCGATGATCACGGCCTAGCTGAGGGCCGCGCATGGAATCAAGACTACAGGTTTGGGTTTCCGTGGCCACCCTTTAACCCCGTAACATTTAAGCATTTGCAGATGTAACGATAGGGCGCGCGTTATTGGTCTCTAAACCAAGACACATGTGCGCACATCTGCAGAGCAGTAGAGATCCCTGTGAACCTTTTCTGTTCACTTTTAAAAAATATATCTGATGTCATCTTTGATAAAGCTTCACATTGTCTATTAGTCCTGATTTTGTTTTTGTTGCAGTCTACTAGGGCCTCTCCATCCAAATGTAAGACATGTAGACACGATAATAAATATATAAATAAAACCTGCCCGCGATTTGTACGTGCCATCGAGGATCGATCGACGCGGCAACAAACAGGAGTCCCTATGGGCCGGTGACCCCCCTTTTTTTTTTCATTCTCTAACAGAAAGTCTCGAGAACTAAAGATGAACGTACGCTTTATCAAAAACACGTGATGGAGTTTCTGTAGCACCAGAGTGAGCTTTGATATGTCCTTGCAGCAGGATAAACCAAGGGGGGTCTCCGTCGGTCCTCTAGCCTTTGATTTACAACATAGTCCCTTGTTCCTCAGGCTTTCGAAAGTATCACCGGCAGATCCGTATCTCAGAACCAGATCTACATTGAGTCCTCCAGGCTGGATTACCGTGGGCAGAGCCCTGTTTAGCACCAGATGTAATGTATGAAGACTATATAAGGCACAATGGACATACACTATATTACCAAAAGTATTGGGACACCCCTCCAAATCATTGGATTCAGGTGTTCCGTGACATTTCCTTGCTACTAAATGTTCCACGGACACCTGTTAGTGGTATTATAACAAAGTGGAAGCAACTGGGAACAACAGCAACTCGGCCACTTAAATTGACAGAGCGGGTCAGCGCATGCTGTAGCGCACATTGCGCAGAAGTCGCCGACTGTCTGCAGAGTCAATAGCTACAGACCTCCAAACTGCGTGTGGCCTTCCGATCGGCACAACAACAGTGCTTAGAGAGCTTCATGGAATGGGTTTCCATGGCCGAGCAGCTGCACCCAAGCCTTACATCACCAAGTGCAACGCAAAGCGTGGGATGCCGTGGTGTAAAGCACGCCGCCACTGGACTCTAGAGAAGTGGAGACGTGTTCTCTGGATGCCATTAAAGTTCATGTGCGTGTAAAGGCGTCCCAATACTTTTGGTAATATAGTGTCAAAATTAGAACGGATCATTAAAAAAAACTCATGCTGTGTGTGAGCAGCACCAAGTCTGGCCAAAACCGCCAGGCGTTGTTCATCTGGGGCTTTACAGTAGCAAACAAGATCCATCCGAATCCCCCGTCGATCACATATCTACCTACGCAAGGCTGTTCACAAAATCCGACCCTTCTTCCCGGTTCCTTTCCAAAGGATGTTCTAGGATGGGAAGAGCTGATGGCTTTTTGTGGACAGTCTCCAACCCCCTCAGGGATGTGTTATCAACATAGTTATCCTAGCTAATTATTTTATGTTCCTATTAAATAATATGGGTATCCAGACCCTACTTTCAGTTCAAAGCGAGGAATCAACTCCTCTTACAAGCTACCGAGAGAGTTTGACGCTGAATTTTTTGATTGCCTCAGCAACAGCAAACCCCTTTTTTTTTTTTTTGAACACTGCAGTGATCACAGATAACTTCTCAAAGTTCCAGGAAGACTGTCTTTGTGGTCCCCAGTTCATCTTTGACATTCAAAGTCTATTGGCAATAGAAAAAAAAAGTTGGCCGAAGGCCCACCAAAAAAAACAGTCCAAAGGGGAGCCGCCTGTGGTGGACCAGCCAACAGCACGGGCTTATTAAAGACTCAGTATTGTCTACTTTGATCCATGAACTGAGTCTAGGTGGACTTCTTCTGTTTCTTTCAAGCTATACAATAGTCTGTCAGTCCTTTTTTTTTAGGCAAGACCATCTGCACCACCTCTGGTCACCTCTCAATAAGTTGCTTGATTGGTTTGCGGAGCTGCCCATTAATTGGTCTACAGGATGTCGCCTGTTCATTTCAGCTCAGGATATTTTTGAATATTTAGTCAAAGGTGCTTCTATCCAGTCCTTTATATGCATAGCTTGAAGATGCTGCCTCCAAAAACGCTTAAACTTCCTCCCTAAGAGACATTAGGTCGGAATGTGCTAGCTTGTCTCTGTCAATCGAGACATAAAGGTCCCACTGCATCTTCTGCTGATCATTTGTGGCTGTTTCGGGTCTTCCTCAGAATTTCAAGTATCTGCGCCCTCCGTTTCATCCAGTCTTCTGCCGGTTTCTTGACTTGGGTGGACCTCGTGGTGGGTTTAGGGACAAAGAAGGTGTATTTGAGACGCGGGGCTCTCTGGTCATTGACAACCAGGGCCTGGATAGTGATGGATTCTTTCAGGGGTCCGCGTCCAACAATGGTCTCCATGGCTTTGGTGGCCCCGCTGTACCGTAAAGTCAAGCCTCCCCCAATGTTGACGTCCACTTCCGAGGGCACCAGGATATAGTTTCCATTGAGGGCGTAGGGTCCATCTTGCCTTTTTATGGCCAAGTAAATGCCATCGCTCGTTGAGGACGACCCACTGTTCTGACGGATCAGAATGTTTGTGGCACCTGCTGGGATGGTGACCACGTCATTGTAGCCATACCTGAAAGCAAAAAACAAAGGTTTGAGGATACGAATTTCAGAACCAAATACTTCTGTTAAGTTTTTAGTAAGCCTGAAGATCCTATTTTACACACAAGTGTCTTTGATTATGTCCTTGTACCCTTACAGTACTCATTAATGGGCACTGGATAATGTTCAATATGGACAGTACCAACCAGTTCAGATAAGTTCCTGACTCTGTATGTATATCCAAAGATCAGATAACCAGGCACAGGGTCTTCTGTGTACTTGTGTAACTAAACAATAGTTTCCCTTTTGTGTTTGGGTACCTAGAGTCTGCACCTCGGCCTGTGCTGGAGAAACAGAAGGTAACCAGGCCAAGAGGTGACCCAGAGTCTGCACCTCGGCCTGTGCTGGAGAAACAGAAGGTAACCAGGCCAAGAGGTGACCCAGAGTCTGCACCTCGGCCTTTGCTGGAGAAACAGAAGGTAACCAGGCCAAGAGGTGAACCAGAGTCTGCACCTCGGCCTGGGCTGGAGAAACAGAAGGTAACCAGGCAAAGAGGTGACCCAGAGTCTGCACCTTGGCCTGTTCTGGAGAAACAGAAGGTAACCAGGCCTAGATATGACCCAGAGTCTGCACCTCGGCCTGTGCTGGAGAAACAGAAGGTAACCAGGCCAAGAAGTGACCCAGAGTCTGCACCTCGGCCTGTGCTGGAGAAACGGAAGGTAACCAGGCCTAGATATGACCCAGAGTCTGCACCTCGGCCTGTGCTTGAGAAACAGAAGGTAACCAGGCCAAGAGTTGAGAACACTTATTCTAACCACCCCTTTCCCCAATAAACCTATGGCTATGGCCCAGTTGGCTTGACATGGCACTTTATAACGGGTGTTTGAGAATCCTGTGGCGTCTCACCGTGATTTTGTAAACGATCCATATGTCTTGGTACAGGCGGAGCCGTTCCCACCACACACCATGCACTTATCAAATTTCTTCTTGGATCCGATAACTCGGTCGCAGCCAGCATGGACGCAGCGCCCCTGTACACAAACTGAAGTGGAGTCTGGAGAGCATGGAGTGCCATCTGCCACCTGGAACCAGAGAAAACATGGAGATTTAGTTAATTACTAGCCAAAACCTGTGACATCAGGGCATATAGAAGCAACTGTGTCTATGTAGCGCTGATGATGACTGCACACCAGTGCCCAAAGCAAGGTCCATAAAGACATGGATGGGGGAGTTTGGGGTGGAGGAACTTGACTGGCCTGCACAGAGTCCTGACCTCAACCTGATAGAACACCTTTGGGAGGAATTAGAGTGGAGACTGCAAGCCCGGCCTTCTCCTCCAACATCAGTACCTGACCTCACAAATGGTCCAACATTCCCATAGACACACTCCTAAACCTTGTGGACGCCTTCCCAGAAGAGTTTAAGCTATTATAGCGGCAAAGGGCGGGCCAACTCAATACTGAATCCTACGGACTAAGACTGGTATGCCATTAAAGTTCATGTGCGTGTAAAGGCCGCGTCACCGTACTTTTGGCAGTATAAAGTATATTTCAGCATAAGATACATATCTACATAAGCTGTATAAGCACATCGGGTGAAATGGTGTTTGTGCTAGTGAAGGAACAGAAGTTATTGTAGGTGGGACTCACCCGTGGCTCCAGGACATAATAGTAACCCAGAGGACGTGACTGGCAGGTGAGTTTGCACTGGTCCTTCTCTGTGATTCCGTTGTAGCGGGGAACCCAGTCCATGGGTGATGGAAAACCCTTAAAGAGGTCAGTCCGGTGGTTATAGATGGCACACTGCTGCTCTCGGTATGTCATCGCTGTAGGCCAAGATTGGGGGGACAACATGTTAGTGAACCTTTTTCGACAAAGACCTCCCTACCTGCCATTTATAAGACTCTTGTCCTGTTCAAACAGCTTTGGAATTGGCTCTGGGTGCTTGCAACTTACCATTGCCGGTTGGGCACTCCTGTGTGTTGCAAGAGCGGTACTGAGTCCTCTTCCCCTCGCAGTACTTCCCGCCATTTTTTGGGACTGGCTTGTTGCATTCACGATGAGAGAACTGAACTCCACCACCACACGTCCGTGAGCATTCCCCGTATGGACCCCAAGGACCCCAACCTCCATTGACTGGAGTCTGTAAAAGTAATTGTAAAACAATCAGTTAAAGTTGCAATAGTGTTACAGGAATGCTCAGACACCAGAGTGCCAAAGAGAACAACAACATACACAATTGTGTAAAGTGCTAAGCGTGGTGTATATGATGAGCAGTTGGTGGCCATCATCTCGAAGGGCAAGGGAATGCTTCTTTACAGATGGAGTGTTTGCAACCACATGCACACTAACTCTTCAAAAAAAGTTCCTGCTTGCTCAAAGAGTGACCTGATTGGTTCCTGAACTCTACCATAATGTAATTAGAAGTTTACAACACACTAAACTTACATTGTAGGCCTTCATCTCCACTTTGCTGATGCACCGGCCGTTCATACAAGTCTTTCCGACTCCACACTGTGTCCCGTCTGCCCAGGGAAAGTGCTTAGTTTGGCACATGAAGTGTCCATCGATCCTCCCTGTGCACCATAGAGAGGAGCAAGGGGTGTGGAGGTTTGGGCAGTGTCGAGACTCGGGACCGAAAGTTAGCTGGCACTGGCGGTCAGAATCATAGTCGTTTCCAGGGAACGGGACTGGAAGGCGGAGAGGGGCTCGTGGCTTGTCCAAAAGACAATGACCTGCAGGAGGAAGATACATTGTCAAAATTGGCTTGGAGACTTTAGGATCATGGTAGCTTCACAATGCGGCAGAGATGAAGATGAGCCCTATGATTACCTACCGTTGCCGTTGTCCAAGAAGTCGGTGATGAACTTGGCACTGCATGGTGACCACAACTCTTCGGGATCCACAAATGACATAACAGGTGCCATCATGTGACGGGTATTGCTGGCCGGGCGGTTGACTTCAATGCAAGGTTTGGAGTTGTCGTGGAGCATGTTGAAGACGTGGCCTGTAGGAGACAAAAAGATCAGAAATGCTGTTGGCTCTTTATCCCTTTAAAGTGGTGGTTATACGTCTTAGCCTCGCCCAACCCTTAAAGGTCATCTACTGCCAGAATGATCCATTGTAATTTGGATATAGAGCAATGAGAACAGCCGGTAGGAGAACTTAAAGGAACATTTGCTGCCACATTGTGTTATTAAATTCACGTTTTCGCATTAGATGCCAACACCACCAGACAGGCAGCAAATGATTGTAGAAAGGGGAACAGATAATTTGAGGAATGTCAACAAGCTGGACCTTCTTATGGAGTACATATCTTATCCCCAGACTACGTCAATTTCTACCCAAACTAGGAATCAACTTTGGTGGACGACTCCTTTAAACCATCAGTATAGAGGAACGTCAACAAGCTGTACCTTCTTATGGAGTACATAACTTATCCCCAGACTACGTCACTTTCTACCCAAACTAGGAATCAACTTTCGTGGACATCTCCTTTAAACCATCAGTTCAGAGGAACGTCAACAAGCTGTACCTTCTTATGGAGTACATATCTTATCCCCAGACTACGTCACTTTCTACCCAAACTAGGAATCAACTTTGGTGGACATCTCCTTTAAGCCATCAGTTGTTCAGAGGAACGTCAACAACCTGGACCTTCTTATGGAGTACATATGTTATCCCCAGACTACGTCACTTTCTACCCAAACTAGGAATCAACTTTGGTGGACATTTCCTTTAAACCATCAGTTGTTCAGAGGAACGTCAACAAGCTGCACCTTCTTATGGAGTACATATCTTATCCCCGGGCTGCCTCACTTTCTGCCCAAACTAGGTATCATCTTTGGTGGACATCTCCTTTAAGCCATCAGTTGTTCAGCAGTTTTGCTTACCTAGCTCATGGGCAGCAGTAAAAGCAGACTGCAAGCCGTCATCCTCGACAATGGAACAACTCCTTGACGGATCGCAAACTGTACCAACATCAGCCATGCCAAGCGTGTCACAGGTGGATACTCCACAAAGGTTCTGCCAAGAAAAATGTATGCAAGTAGTAAATACACATGTGTTCCTTAGGAACTAAGTAGTACAATCCACCCAAATTTTGGTAACATTTTCAGCCTTAGAAAAAGGTACACACCTGGCGGGTGAAGAGAATGGCCGTGTCAAAATGCTCCGAATCCGAGTCGTTGGGTTTGTTCAGTCCTTTCTGCCATTCACAGAAGTTCCTCAACATCTCGGCAGCATTGGTGGTCATCTTCAGCCCCTTGTAGGTGTTGGACTGGTCCGCCCGCCCGATCACCACCAGCCGCGTCACCACAACATTGACCGGGTTCTTTAGGCTCGGGTGGCGGAAGAATTTGGCGGCAGCTGCCATGACGGTCAACAGGTACCTCTTGAGGCCCGCTCCGTGGAAGGTGGCCATTGTCTCGTCGGCGACAACCAAAGTCTCCACATAACGAGGCAACGATGCGAAGCGCTGTTGGGGATAAAAGAAGATCATTGTTTAATGGCGGAATATACAAACATTAATTTGATTATTACAAAAATGCTCAAGAAAAATGGCGTCACTCCAAAATTGTATCTATGTGGCATGTCCGCTTTATCCTAAATAGAGAGACTCCCATTTCCTAAACCTGAAATAATCTCTGGCACAATCCTAACTTTTACGTGCCGCCTCGGCTGCTCGTGCTTTAAGAACACGACCCTTAGACGTGGCTCTCTGCTGTCAGACGGATTTTACATTTCAGGCAGTCTGTCGGGGTTGGCTTTTCTACCAGAACTGCTCGCGCTTTGGGCAACATGACATGCAAAAGGGTCAAAGGTCGGTTGCAACTTGGCTAAAACCGGATGTTTAAAACTCCCTCATCGCACTTCAACAAGCCAACAGGGGCCCTTGCAGCGCCGTTCCCTCGGAAAGAGGCCCTGCTTCCCCACATTCTGTTCCTAATCCAACTTGGAATATTTTCCGAAGCAGCGCGTCCCGTACTATTAGCCATCCATCATCCTTCTACAGCTAGCCTATGTCCGCCTTGTGGTACGGCGCCCCAAGATATATTTACATGACGCATCCCTACTATCCCTGACCTCCCAGCATTGTCAGCCGTTCCCGGATCAGCGTGTCCTGCCTATAGCACGTTAATTACGTCATATAAAAGAATGATGGCGCGTGTGACGCCGCTGTCACAACAGACCTGTGCGGCAAGCATATCTGCTGAAGGGACCTTAAAGAACCTTAAAGAGAACCAGTCACGGGCAAAAATTTTAACATTTGTGGAGGATGACTTATGGAAAATGAGGATGAATCTGGGGCTGGCAGATAGTGCTCAATGACAGTGCTCAATGTCTCAAAGTCACAGCAGGAAGTAAGAGGAGATCTCCTTGAAATTAGAGGATATCCCCTCCTAGATGGTTTTCAGCAGAACAGGTGACCCCACTGGGAGATCTCCCCTTGACTTCTGTTCCAGAGACAACTCAACATTTTTGGATTTCCCTTTACTTTCCGCCACCAGGACAAAGAGAGAGGGTGGTTACACTGGAACTATCAGTCCTCGGGAACGCTTTACATATGGTGAGATTGAGGCATTCACACAACGCCAGAGTGGTTGAACAACTATATCCAGCCATGAATGATGGTTGTAGTAGTTCAAAAACAACGGCGGGTCATATCCGAGAAACCCAACCCCCGGGAAAGCTCCATCTCCACCGTGGAAAGAGTTAAGGCAGAGAGACCGATAGAAGGCAGATACATAGAACACGAAGATGAGGAACACAATGTTGCAATTCAGTCCCGATGACTTATGAGCGCAGAGACGTCTTAATCCCGAGAATTGGAAGGAGGGGAGGCCCGGGTCTGGCGTTTACAATTTCGTATATGCGAAGGGGTTACATCATCGCTGACGATCCGCCGCCATCCATCACCGCTTGCAGAACCAAACATTCGCATGTGGCTATCCTAAGCGCATCCTGATTTTTTTTTTGTTTCCTTTCCCGTGTGTGACAGATTTCTGGAACGGCGTCCGCTTGCTAAGTTTGGTTCTCCGAAAGCCTTGCGCAAATTCAGTATTAATGTTCTGTCCTCGGCCTGCATTGCATAAACACTGCGTAATATGCAATAACGCACACGCGTGTGGGCAGCGCAGACAGCCGAGAATGGGATGTACTTTGTCAACCGTCCCGCACAATCCCCCAACAAGGAAAAACAAAAACTCTGGATGGCCACTCGCTGTCAATTACATTTGACTTGTATCTAAAGATGTTACGTATGGTAAGGGCACACCACCATATTGATGGCACTCCATGGTGGCCACAAATGCTTGTTTGAGGATGGGGACCTAAATATATATTGAGGGGGGTATTAATTGCCCTACGTACTTGCCACAAAGCGCAGCGAACCAAAATGCTCATTCGAGGATGGGCACTCGAATATACAGTAAGGGGGCTATTAATAGTGGTCCATGGTTGACGTGAAGGGTGGCGACCACCAGCGCTCCTTCGAGGATGGGGACCTGGATATACAATAAGGAGCAATTTATATTACTCCTTGGTTGCCACAAAGAGGGGTGACTGCAAATGCTTCTTTAAGGATGGGGACCTAGGGGCCAGTAAAAGCAATTTGACCATCAAAAATGCTCATGACCGCTCACAGGCACCCATCTTTCTGGAAAGTCTCTGTGTGACCCCGTGTGGTCATCTACAGTCCATCAGTTGGGCCCCAAGGCAAGGCAAGACACGTGCCCACCTACAGACATCTAAATTTTGCTTCCAAAGCTCAGCGTTTTTTGGCTGTTCTGATGGTAGCACCGCATTTACCATTGAGAGAGCCATCACCTAGACTAAATCCTATACCTAGGCTTGATCCATAACCTGGGCTTGACCCTTTACCTGGGCTTGAGCCATCACTTGGACTTGAACCTTCACCTGGGCTTGATCCATCACCTGGGTTTGATAATCCACCTAGGCTTAAATCACCACCTAGGCTTAATCCACCACTGAGGCTTGATCCACCACCTAGGGTTATATCACCAGTTAGGCTTGATCCTCCACCTAGGCTTAATCCACCACCTGGGCTTGATACATTATCTGGGCTTGATCCTTTACTTGGGCTTGATCCACCACCTGGGCTTGATCCTTTACTTTAGATTGATCCACCACCTGGTCTTGATACATCACCTGGGCTTGATACATCACCTGGGCTTGATACATCACCTGGGCTTGATCCTTTACTTGGTATTGATCCATCCCCTAGGCTTAATCCACCACCTAGATATAATCAATCACCGAGACTTGATCCATCACCTAGGTTTGATCCATCACTTGGGCTTGATCCTTTTCTTAGGATTGATCCACCACCTGGTCTTCATACATCACCTGGGCTTGATCCTTTACTTCGGATTGATCCATCCTCTACACTTAATAGACCAACTAGGCTTGATCCATCACTTGGGCTTGATCCTTTACCTGGGCTTGATCAACCACCTGGGTAATCCTCGAGGAAGACTTTAAATGGCATTTTGGCTGGGGATCCTCACACATGCCCCAACCGGCCAGAAAACCTTGATCCAACCTCCAGAATCTTTGGCAAGATCGAAATTGCCAATCCCTCTCTCAGATCCAGCTTCTTTTCAATTTACGGAACCAATTTTTTTCCAGAGCTGAATTAAACCCCCCTCCACCCGATTTACCACTAAGGTCCGACCTAATCTTTGGACATTTGAGCTGAAAGAAATATTCTTGGACTCTCATACTTTTGGCGTGATGCTCTTATTTCCCTTTCACCTTCTGTCCTTGAAGCATCAAATTAGGACACGGTCATCACTCCACTGCCAATGTCCTGGCTGGAGGGCAAACTGGAATTCCACAGCGGTTCGGAGGCAGCCGGCGGCTGGTATGGTTTACACACGATCCAAAGTTGGCAAAATCTCTGGAAATCCCATAATGGGTGCGATGGTCGGTATCGATATTTCCCATGAAAATAGAAAAGTGTCAGATTTAAAATACCTGGAGCCGACCGCGGCCGCTTTGATGATTGGCCGCGAGATAGAAGTGCGCTGCGAGATTCAGAACACAGGTCTCGCTTTTAAAAAAGCCCCGAAGAAGATCTTATCGGCGCGGTCCGGTTACGAAGACAAGAGATGTAACAGGGCTTCAATGGTCTTTCTCGCCGGTCTGCCGGCGCTAGGGCACGCTCTGCCCTCCGTGCCACGTTAACCAGCTATGCGCCAAAGTGGTTTCGGTTAGCTTTGGACGCCGATCGGCTTCATCCAGACGTATGAGAGAGAGTATCGAAATTATCAAATTGCTTTACGGTGACTGTGTATCACTGCTTTAATGATCTTTTATCATTGAAAAGCCTCCCCTCCCCCAGTGATCAGTCTGCTGCAGGCAAGAGGAAGCATTTCCTTAGTCTCCCCTCCCCCAGTCATTTTGGTGTCACCCCTCCAATGGTGTCACCCGGGTGCAGGAATGGAAACGCGTAAAAGCGGAGTGTATCATTTGTCAGGACGGAGACACTCGGGGGGGTAAATTTATGAAGCAGTAAATGTGCCATTCATTGCACATTCACTACAGGTGAATCAATCAATGCCATTTAAGATGCATGCAGCTGGAAGATTCACCCGCAGTGAATGTTTAATGTCAGATTCACTGCTTTATAAATGTACGCCCCTCGCAAGAAGAGTTCTCGTGTCCCAGACGGGGATTACTTTTTTTTCCCGAAAGCGACTGCGTCGGATCATGCGGCTGTGCTATGTTGGGGGGGGGGGGGGGGGGG